AATCGGAGCACCGATTATATGCACTACTCACTCAAAGGCGAGCGTTTCGCCACAAAGCCACTCCTTGTGTACAAAATGCTTTTAAGGTATACATGGAAAGTCTGCAGCATGAACCGCCAGTGAAAGTATGCATGGAAAATGATCTTTGTGGGAGAAAGCAAATGTGTAGCATTTTCCTCATGGTGTGCCTTCATCTTGAGGTCCTAAATTTGATGCCTCGTCATTGACGACAGCAGCGACGAAATTGCGCACTCGTTGGCATATTCGCCAAGTTAAAGCAGTTGTTGAGGCATGTCTTTAGCTATCGTTAGTCTCTTGATGACAGGTGAAGATAACGCAGCCTTGGTGAGATGCAGCGGATCTGGTATGTGCAAAGGCGGCTCTGCTGGTGATGATGCATCTCGTGCTGTCATTCCTTCCATCGTTGGAAGAGCCTGATGAGATCCGGCATTACACCCTCTACAGTTCAGCATTTGAGGCACCTGACAAGCATCCCGTTCTTTCCATTGAGGCTCCACTGAAACACAAGGCTTATAGCGAGAAGACAACCAAATGATTTTCAAGATCATCAACAGTCTGGCTGTGTGTGGATTTCTACATCTCTGCTCCTTTCTCTGCAGCCGTCGGCTACTTTGTGCTTAATGCGATACACACTACACCCATCTACATCATTTTTGCACCTTTTCTTGCTCTTTTACGTCTCGTCTCAGTGAGTCGAGATTTAAGGAAACACCATGTCAAGACCCTGACAGAGTGTGGTTACAACTCTACCACTACGGCAGAACTTGAAACAGCTCGCCATGTTTGGCAGAAAATTTGACGCTTGCCTGATGGTGCCTAATCCTGGGGCCTTTTTAAATTGGCCTTTTTAAACAGGCAGCCATTCGGATGATTACTACTGAGAAGGAGTGCTTCCGCTATCCCCATGCCCTTACCAACCTGATTTTCTGGGCAGAAAAGGTGCTAATATCCACGAGTCAATCTATCGTCCCAACATGAAAACTGATGTTTGGCATTGAAAAGACCCCTATTTCAATACAGTGCTCCCAGGTGGTTCTGTTACATTTAAGGGCATCACCAAATGTATACAACGCGTACTTGTTGCTGTGATGAATGCTGCATGCTTAGTGCTGCGAGTTATCATTAGAACGGCAGCAACAATGGCGATGTGAATTATGCATGGGGGTAGATGGAAGTAGGAGTAGAGGAGAATGCAAAGGATAAGGTGCATGAGGTAGAGGAGTTAGCAGAGAAGAAGGATGAGTATGGAGATGAGTGCGAGGCATAGTCGGATAAGTGCATTTCGATTTGCTCCGATATGTTGGCAGCCGCCAGTCTGTTGACGGTGACTATGTCTATCCAGACACTTGGAATCTCCACTCCGCCTCACATGCTAACATACACGTACTGTAAATCATTTGTCCGTCGTCGCTGCCATCACTTTGTTATCGGTTTGCAACTGCTTTGAATGATCTCTTTATGGAGGCACTGATTGCACGCCCATTATTTAGTCAAAAAGGAGTACTTCACAACCACGCCTCTCTTTTTACACTAATCGGTAGGAACGCGTAAATGTGAGACCTACAGCATGAATTGGCAGTGAAAATGTGCATGGAAAATCACCTCCATGTGAGAAACAGATAGAAGCGCATCTTTAAGTGAAAGTGCAAGCTAATTCTACCAACAAATGCATTGGATGGATGCTGTGTGAAGCCGTATGAAGACTCTAGCCCCAAACAGAGACCTCAAAAGGAGCTTTCTTTTAGTCACATCCTCTGCTACGCAGCGCGATGCACATAAGCTAATAGTGAATACACAATACCCTCCACCACCTATGAACTGC